TATATGCATAGTTGTATGCTCCATTTTCCTTAGCTTTGATTGTATATCTCACAATTTTGTAAATTATCGTTTAAACTCTGAAAGCTGTGTGGCTTTCTTAATATTCTGTCCTAGAATGCGGTTAGATGTGCCCTTTTTTGAGCACCTGCTCAAAAGGTCAAAGGCAACAAGGTGACTGGAGGGCTTATGTTTTTACAAAAACAAAAAATAATTTTAGCACACGTTATGTGTCAGAAGAGGGTTTAGAAAATACCAACAAAAAAAAACAAAGAAAAGTTTGACCAAAAGGGCACTTGGGGGCAAGGAGCAGGTGCTCAAGCCCCTCCAACCTCCTCCTCTGCACGTGCTGCAGGCTACAATCAAAGGTCGCGCTAGACTTTTTTTTGCTCCGTCATCTTGACCGACAACATAAAAAAATCGGTACTATTTTTATCCGTCATATAAACATATTAACATCGGCTATTTAGCCGCATTTTATGCGGTTTAGTTAGGTCGGTTTTCCTTTGGATAGCTACTGCTGCCTTCTCTTACTACGCCATAAATAAAAATACATCCAAGAAATTAAGACCCGAAACACACACAAAAAAATATGTATTCAATGGTGCATCCTGCCAACAACGCCAAGTGTGACCAGCAGGTGGAGATCTTTTTTAAAGTAACATGATGCACCTGAACACAGATTTAACAGTGCACAATATTTTATTTAACAATTTCTTTAAAACATTTCTCTTCTTAAAAACGAGGCTTCAGGCCCACTACTCTGTCCCTGGAACAAAAGGAACAGAAAAGGAAACAGGACAGACAAGTTCAATTATTCCAAAAGAAATAACACGCAATGCAGAAGAAATTAGTAAAAAACAAAAACAAATTAGTAACTTCAATCAAAACAAAACTAAAAGAAAACAATGGAACAAATCGTTGTCATCCGCTTCCAAATGCCCTTCGATGGGGCCAGAGGAGTAATGCCCCGCGCACACAGCCTGCCCAATCCGCAACAGGTTTAGTTGAGAGCGGCCAAAACAACGGGAAGACAAGACAAGACAGCAGAGCGTCCAAAGCGCTGCAGCTCCAAACGCAATCAGGTGCCTGAAACAGAAAACCCATTAACGATGGATCCAGTTAAAAGAAATCAAAAGCTAAATAGCAGGTAGCTTATCCAGGGGTGGAAACACAGCCTAACCCGGGAGGAAGCGGGTCAGCAGGTGAGGACCAGATGGAAGCCGCCCGCCACAGCAACCCCCAGCTGCAGCCGGCAACGCCATCAGAACAACACTGCAGAAATGCGCGATAGGTGTAGCACCGAAAAACCAACCATGGATAGCAAAACTGACACGATCGCAGACGAGTCGACCAAACACACAAGCCAACATGTAGCCGCCGATTGTAGCAACAGTGGGAGAAACAAAGACGAACCTTGCCCAACTATATAGGCATCTGCCCCGCCCACCAATCAACGGTGCGATTCTAGCTGCACCCGGTGCGCAGAGTGGGGGAGGTTGGAACACCATCCCACCACATTAATATTCACCGTGAATCTAGATCCCATCACAAATTAAGCAGATAAAGGCATCTACATTATTCTCCGTAGTGACAAAAAAAACACTGACTGAGGCCTAAATAATTTTTAATAAATTAAATTAAGCGACTTCACTTAAATTAGCATCACTTCACCCGCTGGGGTCTGAACGCACTTACTCCTGGTTCAGTTCTGCAGAAAAATCTGCGCTAATTCATCAGTCAGTTGGATCTGTCTGATCCAAACAGATCAACTGAACTCTGTGAGTGTTTTACCCTGCTCCGGTGTGAGCCTTTACCAGGATTTTTTATTTATTTATTTATTTTGCGTGGTTTCGCTTCTCCGAAACGGACAGATGTTACGTCTGCAGCTCCTCCAGAGCCTTCTGGGTAACGTGAACCCAGAAGGCTCCATTTGTTAAATCCGGTGGATGAGTTTCTTATTCTTCTCAGCGGCGGAGCCGCATCCCCAAGACTCTGTAGAACCATTTGTCTCTGCTAATGACATCTTCAATACATTTGTTGATCCTAGGCTTAGTTTATGGACTGAACAGACAGAAACAGTTACCATTATACATTTTGTAAAGTGTTGATTTTATTTTTGAACCCTTATTTATTGTAAAGTGTTGATTTTATTTTTGAAC